TTATAAAAAATAAATTAAGTGTTAAATATGTGCAGAAAATTCAATATTCCCAATAATATTTAAAAAATCTTAATTTTTTAATTTTGACGCAAACTATTATTATACATCCGGTGATGCTAGCGACATCTAGTGTAAATTTCTAAATTTCAATAGACACATAAAAACAACGTCAGTTTAACAGAGACTTACTAGATGGCAGTGCTGTCTTAAAACAATTTTAGATTGCATTTATAAAATTCAAACCTTCTGTTTCTTTTAGTACCATAATTATCATTAACAAAATACGAAAACATTTTTTCCTTTGTCACATTTATAACCGCTATGTTAAAATATCACGATGTCAAATTTGTACCATCTGTCATTTTTGATTTTTCTAATAGATTATAAAGTCCTAAAAGCCACTCTAGGAAAATGAATGAATGAATAGATTATATAATAATAGACTAGCGCTCGCCCGCGACACGACACATCAACGAGGCATTAGAAACACGAAGTAGCCTAAAATATGCCCACGTGCATCAGCCACCTTCTCGTCCAAATCGATCCGTTTTTTGTTATTAGTTATGCAAATACATCACATGAACAAATTTTTGTTGATCGAAATTGTAAAATTTGCAACAGTTAGCAGCGCAGCTGGGCGCCTTTAGGGTTCGGGGTTCAACTCTTATTGGTAAAAATGTGTCTCTGTAAAGATGACGTCGTTAGTTCATATACTTTCCGACTAGAGAAGGTCAGTGGGATAAGCCCAACGGGAACATACCCAGGTTTTTTCACAATTATTAGTTCGCCTAATTACAGTATGTGTATAATAATATCTTGTTTGTGATGCTCATTTAGAATGGATATATTCGGACATGCATAATTAAATGTAGACTTAATATCTTTTTAGGCCATATAAACTTCATTTGTATGTATTCCACTGGCTTCAAGTTTGAAAATTTTATCTGTTATAGGTTCCAGTAGTTTTATACAATTTTCTGCTATGGTTCAGAAATAAAATAAATTCGAATTGGCATTGGCATCGTCATGAATAGCTAATGTCTGTAATGCCACTTTGGATTGTTTTAAAACTTTTCAACGCTACTGCGTAGTATAGTAACGGGTTTTCCCTTCCAATTTTAATGTTTCACCCGAACCTTTTTCTTTTACAATCTAAGCTAATAAAGCGCTTATACTTTGGTTCCTTTTTATTGCTTTTATAGTCTAGATATAAACGCTAATAGGTTCTAGTTTTAAGCAATCTTCGCATAGCAAATTTAATGTATGTGGTATACATCTCCGCGGTATTACCTTGAACTAATAGTAATAGTCCTTAAATAGTACGTACTATTAAATATATACATGTATCAACATATTACCTAGATTTTACATATGCTAAATATGACAAAAACCAAATATTATCCTAGTCGGGAATTTGCCCTATTTTTTTTCCTACATTGCGGGTTTTTTCCGGGTAAAAACCCATCACTATTTCCGACTACAATATCCTTTTGGGTCATGTAGGTTTATAACGGACTACAAAGTACATATATTGTTTTCTTTGAATATAGCATGATTAAGATCAGCATAATCTGGTCATGCCGAAATAATTTTGATTTAAATTATTTAGTATCATTAACTTGTTTAGTTCTCAGCTCTGACATTATGATATCAGGATTACATTCCAACAGTGGTTCTCGACCCTTGAGTTAATTATAATGTCATCCTTTAATTCTCTTTGAAAAATCAAAGATAACAAACTTGTTAATACAAGTGTCACCGCCTGGACTGAGGTAAACCTGAGATTTATTAATGACTAAAAGTTTATCAACAAGTAAAAGTACGATAAAATTTTAATTGCCATTCACTTTGTAAATCTTAAGATTTACTTCAATTACCTGTGAAATTTTGATAAAACGATTATTATATTTAAGACGACAATTCAATTAACCTTAAAGAGAAAAAGAATTTATTATTATATTTCAAATAATTATTATTAACAAATTATTTCGCTCGGTAATACACCAAACGAAATAAACTACGAGTACAGTTGATAAATCTTACTATATATATCTTATTATATAGGTAGTTTTGGTTATGCCGTTGTTCAGGTTTTTGCAATAATGTAAGCATTACGTAATTATAATAATGCACTTACAAAATAGTGTACAATTATTGTCAACAACATTTTATCTTGTTGAACTAAATTATAAAGTCAATAAACGACCTTGCCTACGAAACGTAAACAAAGTATATCGCGTGTGTATCAATAAGTTTACACTTGTCCAACACATTACTGGAATAACAAACAAATTCAAATTGGATATTCTGCGCATTTCTATTATTATGACGTCGTCCTGATAACTTTTTATTTGAGTATCACATGCGATTGCCACATCTTACTAATGTTATAAATGTGAATGTTTAGATAAATGGATGGACAGATGGATGTTTGTTTGAAAGTATCTCGAGAACGGCTAAACGGATCGCAATGAAATTCGGTATACATATAGAACATAGTCTGGAAGAACACATAAGCTTCTAATTCTGTTTATTTTAATTGCGCGCGGACGGAATCGCGGGCGACAGCTAGTTATATAATATATAAATTTAAGATAACGCGCAAGTACTTACGAGTTCCGGAGTAGTACAAACGCTGAATCGGATATGTTCTGAAAATATTAGACAATGAAACTTCAACAGCGAACTTCGTATGGAATCATTTCGATATGTTATGTTTATTATATCGATTTTTTATCAGTTTATATGATGAACAACGTATACATACATTTGAAGTGGATTTTCTCTTCTCTCCAAGTTATATCACAGGCAAACGGCATGAAATGTGAGCTAACGCTTCTAGATAGTGGATTGGTTATTAGTAGTAATTACATACTTTAAAAAGGGTCTTGACAGACGGACGGACGGTCAACAAAGTGATTCTATAAGGGTTGGTTTTTTCCTATGAGGTACGGAACCATAAAAAAGTAAGAAGCTCGACTTCATGTCAATTACATCAGGAAAGAATACGAACCGGCTAACAACGATATGACCGGCAGAGTCGCTTAGGCGGTCACAACGTGGACATACAAACCAACAAAAATACTTCCATACCTGTAAAATTATGTCGATCGAATTTTCAAACCACAAAAATGACAGACAATCCTTTTGTCTTACTTGTGTTTTGTAGTAAACATGTGAATTTGTATTAAATCTGAATGTGAACAATTTAAATTAAAATACTGCAATTAACATTTACAAGTTTGGCCAGATAATTCTAAAAGTTTATTTTTATCTAACGTGGCTATTGAATTTTACCAGGCGCACACTACAGTGGAACCTGCATAAGCGAGAATACAAGGATATTTTTCTCGTTTATAGAGGTTTCTCTCTAACACATTCGCTTATGAAGGTCGACCATCGGGACCAGACTATGACTCTAGTTTATAGAGGTTTCTAGTTTATGCAGGTGTAGTTATCATACGTAGAGATTTACCTTTTTTCTTCCACGGTTTGAAATACATTTATAAATACTAAACCACACGTTAAGTGAACCACACTTGATGTCACTTTTTTTTCTTTGTTCACTTGATTGGCAGAATCGATACAATAAGTAGTTGTGGTTGTAAGTACCTCAGAACAAAGGGCTCGTATAAATCAATGCCAGTTTTGGTTTTAATTGCTTTAGGTCGATGACCATTACGTAGGTCAATTTGACCGATATGATGTGGTTATGAACGAATGTTCAGTTGTTTACGCTTTTTAAAAATATTTATATTGTTGTATCTACTATATAGTCATTTTGAATTTCTTCTGTTTAACTTAGCATTTGTAGTTTTTTTGACACTGTCAGTATTAACTAAACAGTCTGACTGTGTTAAAATACTTACAGCGTAATTAAAAGCGATATTTCATTTTCTTTAACCCTTAATTCAATGGTGTCCAGTGTGACGAACAGCTAATTAAAAAAATCAACTGAACTAGTTAAGAGAAAATTACGAATGACTTTACTAATAAAAAACAGTTTTTTTGCTACAAAAATTTCGTGGAATGCTGCCAACAACTGCTAAATATTTGTTAGTTAGGTAGTTTTGTAAAATAATAGGTAAAAGTACCATGATAACAGATAAGGATAAGCAGATAATAACATTACAAAAGTAGTATGCAAAATATCTAGTTTATAAAGATAAAATATGCACAAAATAATATTTACGTAGCTCTTTTTTGCATGTCAGTTCATTGCTGGAAGGTCTATTCCTAAGATCAACTGTAACCGTACCCCTCACCACATCTAGCGTTTTCCTGTAAAACGCACTAGGCCATCGGCTCACTTGGAAGGTGGGTCCTGTGCTTCGCATATGTGCTAAACCTATATTTTTCCAGTCTTCTAAATGTAAGTGCAATTTTAAAATTAAATTTTTTATAGTTAAATCTTACTCTAACAGAAAATATTAAGTAATGTTGTTTAAAGTACATCAGAATAGTGTATATGTAGGCAATTCGTTTCTTTTTAGCGCGTGAAGTTCATTGCGCGTTGCGCAGTACGCCTCCCGCTGCATCCCCATACTGCCTGGTATACCTAAAATTGTGTTCTGGGCTGGACTCTTTCAAGTTAATCAGATAGTATTATCCCATCACAGGTTGTCACAAAGCTATATACAGTCAAAGAAGAAAATATCGTAAAGCAAACATCTTAATAGCAATAATTAATCACATAATTTTGTTGCTATGACAAATTTTTACTTAATGGGGTTGTGTATATGTTACAAATTCATATAAAATTATATTTTACATATTAAGAACAGTATTTAATTAACTATTGATTATTTCTCTTGTTACCTCTTTGTCTTACTATCAGATTCAACAATGGTGACGGGTTATGAAAAAAAAAATCTCATTTTTGTCAGATGCCGTTGCAACGCTGTATACTCGTGGGCTCTCTTGGTTAAATAACGATATAACGTTGACAATATTTTTCCCATTTGAAAACAAAACGATTCAATTTATAAGTATTTATTACAGAAACGATACCATACATAGCATAATAATTCAATAATAATACAACAATAAAATACAGAAAATTTTATAAGTTTCATTATCATCTAGCGACTTTAATCCGTTTTTATGTGTTCATTTCCTTAAAATGAACTATAAAGTAACGGATACCGTTGATAAAATTGTATACTGCAGGAAATATGATAACATTAACATAAAATTCTAAGATCATTCAATGTATGTTGAAATAAAATAATTATTATGCGTATAAAATAAATAAAATGTTTCGTTTACTTAGATTCGAATAAGATGTAACTTTCGTTTACTTTGTCTTCTAAATATTGCATTTATTATGTCATATTTAAATTTGCGATGACTCTGTTGTATATTGTTACAAAGGAAGCTCAGGTGCCATATTATTTCAGGGACAGAATAACTGTTTAAAATAGGAACAGAAGACATAAAGAGAACAGATATCACATACTAAAATATTTAAAAACAATTTTATAAATAAATACGTTTAAAAGGATTTTTAGCATTCGTTTAAATTATTTCCATGCACGTCAACCATTCTAAGCTACCGATGTTACTGAAATATACTTTTAATGAGGTCTATTAGTGCAATAAACACACAACATTCATTATATCAGACCTTACAAAGTAGCTTTGTACTCTCGGGCTGACATGGAGCTCTTGTCAGTCGTTTGTAAGAACATACCCTGAGCAGATGACCTTTTAAACATACATAGAGGAAGCCTCGACCTAATACTACTACACTGGATTGGCGACTCGCGTATATCAACACGTTCAGTGCCATTAAGCTATTTTACCTATGAATGTGAACTCGCCATGTGAGTCGTTGGCACTGAATGTGTTGATATTGGCCCTTATTAAAATTAACTACGTGAGGGACGAGTGCTGGTAGACACAAAATGACAGACTATGTGCAGCTAAGAGGCTTGTTGACGAATTACAAAAATGATACAAAGCTAAGAGTATCAACCCTTTTTTCTACATTTAATAGAGACACGTTTGTCAGTGGAATGCCGCAATTAATGAATTACACTAGCTGCTGCAATAGCTCACAATTTGCATATCGATGCAGACCTGACACCCGTTGAGAACACACAAGAAATACCTACAATAGGAAATAGTATAGGCAGTTATTTACCCAATGAATTAATTTAGCCAACATACGGTAAGTGGCAGTGCATACGTGAAGCCTACGTCACTACTTAATGCATCGCAAATTAAAATCGAAAAGTTATAAAAGAATAATAACGATAGTTTTTTTTAAATAATTAAAAACACCAAATAATTATAACAATGCTGTTCCTGGCACATCACAAGCGAATTGGCCAAATAATTTAAAATTATTCAAAACGTTAAAAAAAAAACCTAATTAACATTAAAATTATATATAATATTAAATTCATGCAGTTCAAATACAAAATGGTGAATTGGATAAATTTAAAATAGGATTTCCGCAAGTACATTGAACACGTATCAATGCAATGTCCAAAAAGTGGCCATCGGTTAAAAGGAAATTGCATGACGAACCACGATATACCACGACGAATATACTCAAAATATGCCCCTCACTTAAAGACACCTAAACATTTTGAAAATAATCACATATAAAGTTAATAATCTTAGAATTTAATAACATCTTTCGATAAAAGCAGTCATTGACCAAAATATTAATCAAATTTAGAATTTAGAAGTTATTACAAAATGCGCCGTGTCCTAAACGGTCGCAGCACAATATTCGAAACATACATAGCAAAATACCTTAATCCACTTTGAATACCGATGTCTTAGTGATTACGATACTTAGTAGATCACAAGATCTTTACAAATATACCAACTAATCTAGAACTATTAAGTAAATTTTTGTACCGTTAAATGAAATCGAATTAAAAGAAGAAAGTAATCGAAGCTAGACTACAAGACACACAAAATTGCGGACACACGTCCGATAACATACTAGCTATAGCGTCGGAGACCCTCTTGCAGTAAGGAATACAGTTATAGATAAAAAGGCATTGAAGAGAGACAATACAAAAGGATTACACAAGTGGAAAGTTTACGTTGTCGCCAGAGAAGTTAGCGGACAAGAATACGGTTTTGCAACCGAAACAACACAGAGTTACGCGAATTAAGCATTGATAAATAAACGTAAGCTGCCTTGTGCGAGAGGGTTACCTTTGGGAGTGATAAACAGCGTTTGGTGAGTTTTGCGTCGGGTTACCGAGGGTCATTAGATGTTCACATGAGGAACTTGCCAATGACAATACCTAGGAATGCCATGCCGATGGCGATAGCGATCCAAGGGATCATAGTAGCCTGGGCGTTCTTGTCGGGAGTATAAGAATGCCGACGCACGCGACCTTCGCCCACTTTCTGGTGCAGGCGCAGCAGCTCCTCCTGGAATTAAAATAATATATGATTAAATTAAGATGCTCCGACGCTTTTGTTATTTTTTGGGCATAATTTATATACAAAGCTTCGAGATTTTTTAATTCGTCTTGTTACTCTATACAAGAAACGCCAGCCGCTGCGTAGTAGCTATCAAATATTCCACAATTCGCTTGATGCTTTAAATTTAAACATTCAATCTGATTATCCACATCTATATATGTAGTTAACATGCCCAAATATCGATGGGTTATATTTATTTTGTCTTATATAATGTATAAACGGTATCCAATTATGAATATATACAAAGATACCAATAAACTAAAAATCCTGTCTCGACATCGTGTACGTCAGAGAAACACTCAAGAATCAGGTCAGAGATTGTAAAGTGTTCACCGCTAATGAAGAGAGGACGTATCGGGAGGCTGAGGTCAGACAAACAACGCATGTCTTGAAATATTATACAAGTTGTGTAAGGCATCGTGTTTATGAACTAAACAACTGTTTCTCATATCTTTATAATCTTAATAAACAAAGTAACATTTTTATTTAATAAATAAAAATTTAAATCGAACTCTTATTATCAATCCGTTAAAATAACCGAGTAATAATTAAATCTGAATTTAGATTGAAATTAAGATGACTAAGTTATCAAGATCTCTGCCTACCTCAATGGGTTAGAGGCGTGAGTTGTTGGCTTGAATTATGTTGTTGTTATCAAGACTGTCTATAGTCCAACAGAGATAAGGTTTCGTTTATGCAATGCGCATGTATATTAAATTCGCTTCGCAATATGCACAGACCACATACAAAATAAATCGCAATCAAAAACTATTGTTATCTGTTACTCATGATTGATTTAGAAGCACAGAGACCTACTTCTTGTTTATGCGAGATCTAAAGCTGAATACATAATTTCCAGTAATATTTCACTTTCTAAATGGTTATAGATAATTCTAGCTTTAGAATACGACTGTGTCTAGACCTAAAAGCATTTAGCTTCAATATTTTAGGTTGTTCATGTTACTTAAATATTCTAATTTATGGTTTGAAACCTTTTGTTACGCAATCGCAGCAATTTGTGGTCCTTAACATCCTATCTTCTGTTTAGAAATTAACCAAATATCTTAGGAAAATAACATCCATATAATTGATTTTTTGACCATAGGCGATACTGTTGAAGGAAAATCCTTTTTTTATAATTATAGGTAAAAATATACATTATTATCTATAGTTATAAAAATACGTAATTAAAAACTTAGCTCTTATTTAAAAATATATGAACATTCGCTAATAACGCAGGCATATTTAAATGATGTCTCTAAACTATGTTTATGAATTATAAGTTTAAGGAGCAAAAGCCAGTTAGGAAATAAAGATTATACTTGTATTCTGATATATACCAATATTAAAAGCAGAGTAATGTTGATAAAAAAGCAAAAAGCAATAAATTAGAGCCGCCATACACGAACTGCAGTCTTTCACTACAAAAAAATATGCTTAAAATTGTTCTTGTACGGTGACGCTTATTCGTACAAAGATTATCTACTACTCAAGGCTATTTTAATAAAGTAGATAGTAAATGATGCAAATACATGACACTGATAATTGGCCAGTGGTCATTTTTATTTAAAAGAAAAAATCGACTGTCAAGTCCCTAAAACGCCAAGCGCACCAAAAGGGTTAACTTGTAACCCTTCGCTTATGTGCAAAATTGGGTCACAAAGTGGTTGTGAAGCGCTACTCATAACAACAAAGGTTGTGTATAAAATTCAATGCAAAAAACATACAACGGCTGGTATAACTGTAGATTTACACTGCATGTAGATATATTGTAATTAAAAATTCGATTACAAAAGAAATATTACTTTCTATAAGTTTGTCAGCAGTGAAACCTTACAGTTATTTAATGATTATCAAACAAAACTAATTTAAAAATACTCAATATTACATACAAACAACATCAACACATTTTCTAAACATCAATAACATTGATAAAGCATAAATAAGCGTCAGAAAAAAAAAATTAAAGCACTTACTTTCAGTTGTAAGTTCTCATGTCTCAGTTTGCTTTCCTCCTCTCTCAGAAGAAGTACTTCCGAAGTCGCCTTTTGCAAATCGTTTTCCAAGTTATCGTGCTTAAACACAGTAAATGTCTGAAATTACAAATTAATACTAAAATGCAAAAAGCAATACTTATACGACATTTATACAACAAACACTGACGTATGCAAATAAAAATTAATAATGCTTCTTCGGAAATAAATGTTCATATTGTTCCCTACTACTAAATGCAATCGAACTAAGATTCGATAAAAGTGCGAAATCTGGATGTATAGTATAGGAGTTCATATTATAATTTTTTATTTATAAAAATTGATTTCAAAGCTAAATGATCTTGTTTTACTTGTAATTGTAAAGTTTATTTAAACATATTCTCACTTAGATCAACAAAGGATTTTTTTTTCAGTATATCATGTACTTATATTTCCTTCTAATATCCTTTTATTTTTAGTAAAAAAAATTAAATTAGACAACTCAGCTAAATGTTGTCTGTTAATTGAAGATAGATGGCACTAGTTGTTAAGATACTCCTGCGCCTTTCACCCTAAAAATTCGCAGAAGAAAATCACGTCACTTGTTTTCGCGTTTGAGCACACATTATGTATTAATTTATTCATTGCTTAATATTCGGGACAACCTACATATTGTACACACCTGAATGCACCTGAAATAAACAACCTGGACGTGTTTACGAATATTGTGCAAGATAATGGAAACGGCAATCGCTTAAAATAACTTCGAAATCATTGGAATTAACATAGTCCAAGGATTTATCTTAACATGACGGCAAACACTGGTTTTGCGAACAACAATAAAAATTGAATCAAGTATAAAACCATGTCGGAAGCTCTGTAGTTGTATTATGTCATTAAATGTCACTAAATGCGACCCTTAGTGTAAGGTTTATTAGGGAAAATTTGCACTAAGAAAATGCTTAAGTAACCATCATTAAGTGACTGAGTGGTGGGCCTGACCGTGGGCTGTCATTGACGAAACATTTATAAAAATATTATTCATCTTATTCTTCATAAAGACAATGATAACATTTTTGAAGAAGTGTTTCATACACTGAAATCGCACGGTTACTTTATTCCATATTAATTTGCATTTTACGAGTTAGGTAGAATATGTAAACTAAACTTTTTGTACAAAAACGTGAGATGACGTAAACCCACTAACGCGAAGTCCAACAGTATTCCCAGGCGACTTCTTTTTCCTTTCAGAGGGGCTTAAAAGTTATGAAAATGTAACAAAAATTCGTAATGAGATTATAACATAATAACAATAGTTAATCGCATTTTAATCTTTAAGCTTAAGAAAGTCCGTTATGAAATGAGACTCCGAGCCGAAGTATGGCTCAAACATCGATCGATATTGAAGCCCATGCTGCGATTAGTAAACGTTAAATTTCCACTGTCGCAACATCTGTTATATTTTACTAATATTATAAATGCGAAAGTTTAGATGGATGGATGTATCATCAGAACGGCAAAACAGATCTTGCTGAAATTTGGCATAGATGTAGGGCATAGTCCGGAAGAATATATAGGGTATAATTAAGTTTAATTCCGCGTACGGAGTCGACGGCGACAGCTAGTAAGTTGATATTGCTTTCTCTCTCATTTGATTTAAAAACAAAAATCGCACACAGCTATCAAGACAGTTGAAATGCAAGGTGTACAAGATGTACGAGTACATATGTTAGTGACACATTTTTATAAGTTAAAAATTTATTTATGACAAATTTTTTTAGTAATAAGTAATGGATAGTGATGTATGGAAGTGATTACGACCCGCGGACGCGAGGAATACGTCTTGATGCAAAGAAGTGAAGAAATACATGTGTTTCTTTACTCTTTGTATCAAAAGATATATAGTAGTATATTGGCGCATCATTTAATTTTAATATAACTGTTAAAAACGTAATTTCAGACACCTGATACAACTTCTCCAGGGATTTGAACATTATACTATCAAGATTTGGATAATCAAATCTTGATGGAATTTTGGGAAAAAATAGTTTGCTACACATTCCTAGCTCAATTCTTAAGTGATTTAAATACCTTATTCCCGCCAATAGACGAACTTACGTCATCTTCTTCAGGTTTTTGCGGAACGCTAAGGAAGTTTTGTTCGACAGCAACCTGTAAGACAATACGCTGTGCTATTCTCAAGCCTTGGCTGATCAAGTCACGCTCCTAAGGCCCGTATGAATATGTAACGCTTACCGTTCTCATAAAATCTATATAAATATTTATTAAGATCAGAATCAACTGATACGGACAATTTCGGATTCAATGTATATTTTTATAACGTTTAGCTGTGACCTGGCTCGAGAATGGCAAAACAAAAAATTGCTGGAACTTTCCACTATACCTCTCGCTAATTAATTCCAACTTTGATCTTACATCGAACATATTATCGTTGTTGGTAGCCATTGGCAATTTTCTAGTGGTATGGTAGAACCAAGAGAGGGCAATACATGAGATACGGGAGTATATTAGCAAAGCAACCCGATCTAACAACGAGTGGCTAATCTTATCTACAAAACGTTATTGTACACATGTTTAATTTATCAAACTCAATATTAGTCACTTGACCGCATTGTTTTTTTTTAATTTTTTTATCTCACTTAATATTCTGTAAGCTTAAGAGATGAGGGAAATATCGATTGAATATTAAGTGACCAATGAGGATATCATACTTAGCATTGATTAATGCTTTCTTAAATATAAAATGGCGCCTATCAATTATTACACAATCCCAAAAAAAAAGGTTCATATTATAAATGAAGGTATTATTTTGTCGGAACTGACATCCTAACCTAGCATAGTCTAGACTAAACCGAGTTAATTAAAGTATTAAATGGATACAATACAAATGAATGCTTTTTGATATTCAACATGATTATAAAATTACTTCTCGATGGTATATGGATGATGACATGTGATGGATGATGTTACCCAAAGAGAAGAAAGAAGATTGGGCAAAATAAAATTACAAGAAGCTCACATTCACTAGGCACAATATCAAAGTGTTTGGGTTCCATACTTTGTATGACATGTAAAACTTTAATTTTTATAATTATAGTCATAGTCATAGTAAAGAACCTTTCACACAAAACATAAATTTTACAACATTCAGTAACTTACCTTTGGAACCTTAGAGTCTTCGGTGGCTGGTGCTCGTTTTTTGGTTACCTCATTCTGGGCAGCATTGTCACCGGAGTCCTAGGGCAAATAAAAGAATAATTAAAATATCATTGTAACATTTATTGTATGTTTTAAATGATTATTAAACTTACATTGAGATTAGACACTCGTGGAGTTTCAAAAACACATTTCAGCTTGTAGTCCATGAGCTGATCAGGGCTGATTTCCTTCCACTAAAAATTAAGATATTAAATTTAGCTCGACGCTTTGCTTATGGCAAACAGTACAAACTCTATATAAAATTACGAACCACTTGATCAATGTTAGTTCTGCCCTCCGGGGCAATGACGCTTTGGACCATGAACTTATGTTTATGCTTCTCATTGGGATCAAGATACACCGGCTGAGGAGTAACTGAAATTGGAAATCAAAATTAATACTTTGCTATCAATCAAAATATTTTGAAGTGCATATATGTGAAACTCACTTGCAATGTCGACTTTAGAGTTGGGCTCTAATACACCCGAGTTGGGTCGCACGCAATACTTCTTTGGTGCTGTTGTCTTAATTTTAAACAGCACTGTATCCGAACTGGGATTCGTCAGCCGCATGTGAGTGGTGAACCCCTGCTCGAACAGCCCTGAGAAATCAACTAATTCCATCAATAATAACGACCATATCACTCAGCATGAGAACAAATTGTAAACACATTTCTATTGCCTGTATGTGCCATTGTTTATATTGTCTACGCGTCAATTATACAATGATTTAGAACGCAAGTAATAACTGCACGACGAGAAGTCAAATTGATCACTGAATGTCATATAGATAGTATATTGATCACAACCGAAAATCTGATCTTTAGTGCAAAACATTTATCACAAAACCTTCAGTATTAATAAATTTATAGTCTACATTTATTTGCTGGTATTTAGAAATTACATAAAGTTATTTGTCCTCATCTACTTTTCGTTTGAAAGGAGTTATTGAATAATGATGTCAACGTCATGAAGATGTGCATTATATTACTGTTTCTATTACTGTACAAATTAATTGCATCGGTAATTTTTATTAAAAGGCAAAATGTATACATATATATAAATATTTTGTTTTATTTTTATTTTGAAGAATATATGTAAGGTTAATATTTTGTTATGATAAAAGTATTTTATTTTTCTTTCTTTAGGTTTATAGAGTTAATAGCGAATGTAATTACATAAATCATTGGTTAACAACAATTAAGATTTCTTCAACATTAAACTCATGGTTAAATTTAATGTATTGTTATGTAATGAGTTTGCAACTGCTTTGTTTTTTTTTCAAATATTTAAATTACTCCTTACTTGGAGTAGACTCCAACATCTTCAGTTGGTACAAATAGTGAGCTGATGATGAATATTTAAGAACTTTTGTATTAAGGCCTGAATATATTTTCTTTATGAACAATATTTTATTGTTGAATATAAGAGAAATAATTTAAATATATTTATCATACAGTTCCAAGATGTTTAATCATTTAACTATTATAACTGAACAGTGGGACTAACTGTAGTTAAAATTGAAGTTGTATAAATGATTTTAGATGCAGTTTACCAAAAAAATTACCAACAAATATGAATAATTAGACTATTATTTGCTAATTAAAAGTTGGTAATTAAATATCATTAAGTGTGATCATAACAAATAATTTGTTTGTCAACATTTTAGTTAATGAGTATAAAAGTATGATTTAATACAAGTAAGTGAAATTTTACAGTATTAGAATTACATTAATTGGATATTGTGAAAAATTTGATAAGTTGTGTATCTTGCAACATATTACATTACATTTAACAAAGATTAGACTTTTAATGTAATATTAATATACAGCTTGTTATTTATCTGTATTAAAAATCTAAAATAACCAAATGTATCCTAGGTAATGCTAACCATGAATAAACATTTATATAAAATCCATACTATAGTCTCACAGAAACAACCACAAAAGCGAGTATTTTGTGAAAACTTGCAAGGATTATGTTAATCTTTGACTTTGTTCAATGTTTCAAACATCCAAAGAGTAAGAAAGTAAATGTACATTTATCAAAAACAAATTAAGTTGGAAAGTAATTACCTAATATAGGTAGAAAATTAATATGTGTTGCATGACATCAATATTATGTTAAATTTAAACATTGTACATGCTAAGTGATTTGCATAACATAGAATTGTATTGAAATGTTGTAAGATGTTAAATTGACTATATTTGTAAATTATAGAAACCTAATACTTCATTTGGAGAACATTTGACATAAAATCAATATATTTATTGGGGTACATGCATAATAATTTTTTATTTGGAAACTAAAGTTAGTTTTATTGTTTTTATAATGAAATAAGAAAAAAAGACAAAGGTACAAATAACATTGATTTAAATCACATGTTGAGAATGTATCTTGTGATTTTGTTAATAATTCTATGATTGGAATACTTGGTTATTTGTAAGTATTGTTTTGGTTATTCATTGTTTAGTAGTTTATAAAAAAACACTATTCAAATGAATGTTAATGAATTGAAATATGAAGAGAAACTGCCATCATTATTCACATTTCATTTGAAACTTACAAGTCGAAAATACCACGATATGAAAAACGTCTAAAATATAACGAATAAAATACATCAGCATAACAATAATCATAAGATTAATTGTATGGCTGATACTGATATCCTATTCTAACGATATAATATACACTACTAATGTGGATACACTCCATTAGCTCATTTTTAGCGATACGATTATCGACAATATGGTTACATTATTTCAATATATTTGTTGTAAGCCAATGTACATTATATTATTAAAAAGCATATAATCGAGGAAATTCATGAAAACCGCACCCTGACAAAATGGATCTGGAAATAGAAGCTCCCTTTTGTCAGCAGCTAACACGGCCTGTGCTACTCAAGATTTAATGCGGCAGTAGCTCAGACAATAAAAAAATATAATTCTTACCTTTAAATTTCAGCTCGTTTTGAGGGTCGATAGTCAAAACTTGATTTGGCATTTTGAATTATTATAAATATCTTATTTCGATGGTAAAATTAGCTGAACAAAAAAATGACTATTCACCAACGTCGGCCAGATAGAACGATGTGCACCGAACGCAGACGATTTATGATTTCATTCGCTGTGTGTTGGAGTAAAAATTATTAGTACGGAAATGCTAGCAACACTGATCTTGCGTAATCTTGTCTATTAATTTTTAGGTGTATGAAAAGATTACCTATTTCATGAGATTACTTTGCAAACACAGTAAAATATTCTGATAATTTCATTAAAATAAAATTTACAGAAAGATAGATTAAAATTTATTTTACCTGGCATTTTTAAGACTTCTTTATTTTAAGCATTTTGTGGTATCATTTAAAAATTTATAATTACCAAAGGTTAAACATAATTTTTAATTGAAAAAAATTACCAATTGAAAATTAAAATATCAGGCTGTTCGGTAGAAAATAGTAAATAAAAAAAAGCTAAAACTCGTTGAAGTTGTCTTGTCTTTTTGAGTAAATTTAAATGTCAAAACAATAATGGCCGGTTCTGGCAGAATATTCGGTTAGCTTTTGCACTGCTGTTGAAATTGCATTAAAAGTTGTGCTGCCACTTGTATGTAAATATATTTTTTAATTATTTGATCGAGTAATTAGTTTTATAGCTATGTATGTGTAGTGACTGTGGCGTACAATGTTTCTATTTGATGTCAAATATAAGTTGTTTTACAAGACACCATTCTCAATATCTGCCTCTTTTTTGAACGTCTAAGAGTTAGTGATTGCATAAGATGCCCGGTTAATTTAAAATATAAATATGACTTACTTCAATGTTACTCATATTAGTCTGGTATTAAGAACATGCTTGAAATTAAATCGCGGATTTGTTACACATGCGTCAATAAAGCATAGCTTCAATATAAATTTCCAAAGACTCTTTGGTTACGTTCCTATATGTAGCCGTCTTATCCACACTTCAAAATCTAACGGGCAGACGCAAAAGGATGGTATCACTCTTCTCCCATCACCGCAGGAGGTAAGTGCATTAAAATCCACAACAATTTCTTTTATATATGTTGTTACTAAAAATAGATACACTGTTTTGCCCTATGACGAATTTGGTAGTCATGGTAAAATAAAACAATAAAGATTTCTAATTCTGCAGCCTACATAGCTTTACTGATGAAGAATTCCATAGTAATTTTTTTGTCTAATATAGGTGACACTTATTCTTCGTAAAAATGAGTTCAACAAAGAATTTGCCTCGGGATCCATCAAGTCATATGATTCAAATCAGTTGGCCTCAAATGATCCCATTGAAGATACAAGATGTGAAGGACAGTGCAAGCTGACACCAGGTATAAGCTTTGTTAATTATGATATATCTAAAACATAGAGTCCATCATCCAGTTTTGACGTCACCATCGCAAATTTTTAATAATATGGAAAACAAGTGTGTGGCCTTCTGAGTTCACCAAAAGTGAAGTGACCACCACCCATGGACAACTGCAATTGCAGATGAGTTGTCTACCTTTAATGAAGAAGAAGTGGAAACATAGGAATAGAATATTCTTATTTCCCCTCCTCCGCCAAATAAACTTGTCGCTCCCATCATTTCCTTATAAGATAAGGGTGAGAAAGGAATGTAGAGTTAGATTCTGCCTTCAGAAAACACTCGTCACATATAACATGGAGTTGCTTTCACTTTAAGCCTTCTGTGTGGTTGTGTTATTCTTCCTGCCCATCCATGCACCCAGCTTCATCCACCCGTGCAGAATTGACCACTGGTAAAATACTGTTTAAATGTGCAAATTATGGATTTACTAAAATGCTTTGCTCATAAGTGGCTGATCAACTTTGATGATTTATTCCTTAATTCTTTTTAATTCCTCGCAGGTGGAGTTCTGGGCAACAGCTAATACAAACATTGCTAGTATAAACATATTGCTTTTTATTTTAGAGGCAAGCCAATGCCATCCTAGATATATTTTCTTATCCCAGTATTATAACTGAAGGGTTTGATAGTTTGAATAATTCATTGCAGGTTTATTGATGGGTGTGTTTGATGGACATGGTGGTCCAGCTTGTGCGCAAGTAGTATCCAAAAGGTTGCTAGACTATGTTGCAGCGGCCATGCTTCCTACGGACACAATTAATGCAATTCTTAAGGAGCCACAAGGAGCTTTAGTGGATACATACAATGATAAAGTAAGTTTTTATATTAAAAATATATATGTCAAATTGCTATACTTCTTTCTTTAATATTTATATTTTGCTAACTTTGTATGTAAATAAACAAATATAAATACTGCAAGTTGACTGAGATAATGGTAAAACTGACCTTTTTATCACTATTTATATTATTATCACCCAGTTGGCCGCTGCACTTAGTCCCTCTTTTATCTACGTATAGCATTATTGTTTCTGAATATAACAATGTCAACTAGCTTACATTAAAAAGAGTAGCTAGTATTTGCAATTAGTTCTTATATTATATAATTTAATTTTCAGATAGAACTTATAAATGATCTTAAAACAATATATGACAACAGCTTCAAAGAGTTTTTATTGGAGTTGGCAAGAACACCGAGAGATGATTCGAATGTGTACACAGCAATGGAGAAAGGAGTCTTACAGTTAGATAGTGATCTATCTAGAGAAGTTATTGAACCATTTTATAGTAATGGTGTAATAAATCAGAAGACATTATCTGTGGCTTTATCAGGGGCAGTGGTCTGCATATCTTATATAGATGGACCTCATTTATATGTAGCCAACATTGGAGATTGTAATGCAGTGTTGGGTACATTGACTGATGATAATGAATGGATAGCTAAAAAGATTACCAAAGAACACAATTCAGAAAATTTCGATGAATTGAAACGAATATGGAATGAGCATCCCGATGAGGAAAGAAAGACAGTGATTAGACGAGATAGACTGCTCGGTGAACTAGCTCCACTCCGTAGTATGGGTGATTATCGTTACAAATGGTCAACTGAGCTTCTGACTAAAGTAGCAGTGCCATGTGTTGGGGATAAAGCAATACCGGCGAATTATCACACACCTCCATATCTTACAGCAAAACCAGATATTTTCTATCACAGACTATCACCAAAGGATAAATTCCTAATTATAGCTTCAGATGGTTTATGGGACATGTTAACTCCCTTGCAGGCTGTTAAATTAGTTGGTGAACATATGAAAGGAAAAGTGTTTTATAATCCGCTTAAATTGCCGAAGAAGAATATACAGCTAGGAGATATTAATGAGCTGCTTCTTCATAGGAAAGAGAGTTTGAAGAGTAAACCGAAGGACAGGAATGCTGCAACACATTTAATAAGACATGCAATTGGTGGGACCGAGTATGGTATAGATCATTCTAGACTTGCTCATCTTCTCAGTCTGACACCAGATGTCAGTCGAATGTTCAGGGATGACATTACAGTCACAATTGCATATTTTGATTCGGAATTTCTCAGACAGTGTCCAGCTTAAAAAACAAAGACTATAAAAATCATTGTGCCTTGTATTTATTTTTGATACTGGAATAACTGACGAAAAATTTATAAAAATAAGCTAGAGGTTGATATAAAATTAATAATGTATATAATACAGTCAATTTTGCTAATAATTGTGTTAATTTAAAAATAATTTGTGATGTCAATTTATTATGTAGACTTGAGTAGCTGTTGCTATCTAAATATATGTTTATTTAAATGTATCGTCGCTTATTATTGTGTACGAAATTTTATTTAAGTGAGGTAAATGACGTGAAAATCAATATAAATATTGGATTCGATAAAACAAATCGGCTCAATTAAGAATCGAATATTGATAATTGACTTAAAGTCTGTGGGCCTAGCATAAATATTTATGACTATCTCCATCATATCATCATCGACAAAATTTGTATTAAAATTTGTGCTCTATCTGAAGTATTGTACACGAAAAATTTCATAGCAATCATGACATGTGAATTTGAATTGTGACAATAATGATATGAAGGCGTTTGTCACAAATATTCATTCTAGACCCGCTGATACTGTCTTGTCCATTTTAGTGTTTTTAATTTTTTTTTGTTTATTATTTAATTAGGTTAGGTTTTGATGAGATTTATGTAAGAAATATTTTTGTGTTGATTTCATTGTATAACAATATTGTGTGCAGTTTATATCCATTAATTTTACATTTATTACAATGTTTTTATATTGAAATTATATTTTGTTCAATAAATGTATCATGTATCATACATTTGATTTTATATGCTATTGTAATCATATATTTTAGTAAATAAATGTCTATGTATCAATTGTTTGGTTGCAGCATTCTTGAGAGTACAATAAAAGGAATTTTTAACTCATAACTATTATAATATTTATATTTTTAAATTGGTAGCAATAGAATAGAGAGAATGTACGCTGAAATTTTACAATTGAAACAATAATTAAAGCAATATAACTACCTCAATTACGTCTTTTTATTTCATTTATACAAAGTTGCAGCCTTTGTTATCTTACCAATACTAGATGGATGAATGTTTGTTAAAAGGTGTCTGCGGGCCGGCTCAATGAATCTTGATGAAATTTGGCATAGATGTAGAGCATAGTCTGGAAGAACATATAGACTACTTATTAAGTTTCTTCCGCTTAGGTGCAGACGGGGGCGACAGCTAGCCGTAATCGATATTCAATCAATTTTTATGTCATACAAAACACATTTAAGCAATCAAGAATATCAGACGAAATATTGCCTAGCGCACGAATTGCGATTTTTTTATATATTCATTGCTGTGACTCGTAACGTAAATGGACGACAACTCTAATCGTATTCTTTGCAGTCTCAAACGTGTATTTATTAAATCAAAATAATATATGATAATTACAGTCTAGGTAAATTTAAGATATTCTAATAATTAGAGGTTAGTAAATAAAACAAATTCATTTTATTTTAATGTCCTTTATTAATCAGTTATATTAAAAGTGAATAATACCATATTAGTTAAGTTTGTAAAGTTTGCAAATCGTAATAATTATGTACACAGAGAATTGATAGAGACAGATGTAGCAAACAGCCGCGGGAATGAACCGGAACAGGGAAGATGGAACGAAGACTGCTCTAAATATGATTAAATTTTAGACTGTTAGCTTTCAAATTAGATATCAAGTTCATATGAAAATTGAGTTCCCTTCGGCACCCATTTCCTTCCACGGCTGTATGCTGAAATGTTTAGAATGCCTAATTTCCTTTAAAAGTTACGAAACATTGTAGCGAACTAAATAATTCTTATCCTATTCTTAAGACTAATATTAAGTAATAAGGTGTAAGTGTAACTTAAATAACGTCGAATTTCTGAACAAATATTTCTTAAATATGAAAGTATGTTATTCAGATGAAAATCGTTCATTTTTGCGCCAAAACAATATGTAATGTGTATTATTTGAAGTAAAAATTTTTCAGTTCGCTACCAATGTTTCGATTTTATAATTAGCGTAAAAGAAACCCAAAATCCGAACCCATTATTAACAATTAATTAAATTATAATTAACATTTTGCAACTTAAAAATAAAGTAGCATGTTTTTTTATTATTTTCGAAAGTTGAAATAAAAAAAAGTAAAAGTAGTGTTTTAGTAAATAAAGAACCATACTAATATTCTACATTACATCTATTGAATGAATTTTGGCTACCGACTTCAACTATGATAATTTTAAGAATGAATACATTAATTCCATTATATTTTTGAATACGGATTCTAATTTAAACATCTACAATCATCTTAAGGGAATTAATTTTACTATAAATATCGGCATTATTGCCATTGCAAGGTAAGTTATAGATAAAAGTACAAAAGATTCAGATATAGTAATTGAAGACGTAAAATAAACTGCTTGCGTGTAAAATTTAGTTCAAACAAAGTGTTGCAAGTTTGTTAAAAAGAAGTACAATCTTAACATAAGAAAATTGTTTCTATAGCAAATTAAAATGAGATGTAAATCTCACAAATGTTCATTCGTCACAAAATGTTTCAATCAATCGTCTATAATGCTTGGTTTACATCGTCCCAGTACAGTGGGACAGTAGGGCTGGCCTGGGATGAACTAATGTGACTCACTGACGCCAGTTAGTGCTTAAATTAAGCCAGTTGTATACCAGCGGGGATTTTGATCGTTACTGCCTCAGTATACTGGCACAATATAAACAAGACATAAGTCCTAAAGGCGTCTGAGCCATTAAATTTCTTTTTTATTCTAATCACAAGTGAAATCACGCAGAACCATCTACTTATATCTAGACAAAATGCACAGCCCGCAAAATTTTGTCCTACTCTCTATCATTCCAAATTGTCAACAATTTCTACAAACATCGTCAAAAGACAAAAATTGACTTGAAAACCATCGTTACACTTTATTACTTCAAAACGCCTTTTAAGTTTGTTAAATTATTCAAAACTGTAAAACCAATGATTTCACCGAATTATGCTTGAATTAAATGAACAATTTTTTACTATAGTTATAAAGCAGTTCTTATCAGTAAATTCTTAATATTAAATTACATTAGTACGAACGATGAGAAATTCTTAAGGGAAATATCCAAAAGTCCTCCAAAATATAAACATGTTGGTAAATTTTGCCGGTTTGTTTTATTCTGTTTCCATCGCCGACTAATATATAAAACTTATTGTTATATTACTTTGAAAAAAATTGAGACATACATGTCTCGTTAATTGCGACCAACAGTGTGAATTTTCATTTACTTATTTTTCTTTATGGATTAGATCATTTTAGCAAATACAAACATAACCTTTATTTAAAATTTAAAAAAAATCCCTCTGTCTCTGTGTGCAATGGATCTACTAGCGCCCGTTTTTGTTTTTCATTAATTCTGGTTAATATTTGATATTATATCGGCGTCATATTAATAAAGAGTTTTCAATATTTAACTTAATTTACGATTAGTGAAATCCGCAAGGTTTTCCTTATTACCCCAAATTTTCAAAGATATTGGGGCTTAAATATTGTATACTTATTATCTTATAATAAAAACGTTTTTACAATTTTTATTTCTTTGAATTTATGAACAATTTTTTTGTAAATGGGAGATTCATTATAGTGATCGTATAAACAACGTTATTCGTGAATACAATCTAAATGGTGTGTAATGTTTAAGTCATTGAGCGATCGTGAATTCCGCCAGTTTGTAATCAGTCTAGGTAAATTATAAAGATTGGTAAATTGCGTATCGAAGGAATTTAATCACATTAGGCCCCCACACACTAGAGACTTCGCCCGATAGTTTAATTGTTCGCTTAAACAGTATGAACTTTCATAAAGGTGCGCACATTTCACCGATTACATGCTGATAGTGATTAAGCGCAGAATCAGATCGAAATATCGAGCGACTAAAAGTCTCCAGTGTGCGTGGCCTTTAAACCAAGTCTTTACAACTAGCCTAGGATACTTACAAAGGGTAGGAATTCATGTTCGATGTGTGGCATATAAATGGAATTTAAAAATTTCATGTAGTGATGTTTGATGGTCGATTTTATTCTAGGTATTAAAGATGGATAAAACGTGTATTAGTAAGAGTTTAAAATAATTGTGTACATAATTTATTTCGGCTTTAAAGCCTAAGTTCTCTCTCAACCGGATTTTGTATTTTAATGAGATTTGGCTACGTTGAGCATACAAGGCAGCATTAGGTATTGCATGATGTGTACCTATAACGCAGAAAATAAAGCAAATTCGAAATAAAATACAAACAGTAAATTATAAAATGAAAAATAATAACTTAGAAAGAATATTTCGACCCTAGGACAAACTCGTTAATTTTTTCAATTCAAGTTATTTACAGTGACAACCATTTATTTGTCCACTAGCAGTTGTTTAAACTTTCCAATGAGATCTCCCAGTATTCATTCATTCGTTGTTTTTATACCAATTTCAATAACGACAATTCAGATTCCCAAACATTTACTTACTATTCAAACTCATACGAGTTTGCAATCCCCGAAAACTCATTCGAGTAAAGTATACGACTAACAGTAACATATTGTCATAAAAATTTAACGAATTTTTATTTCCTTAATTTAAATTTTCCATTTTCTCATTCACTACTTGCTTTAGAAGCATAAAAAGACGATTTCAGAAATAAAGGAGAGAAGAAAAGAAATCAAGAATTGCGAAAACTAAGACAAGCAAAGATAGTAGACAGTAGATTAGCTGCCTATGTGAAAGTGAAATCCGGTGAGAGGATAATCGTGGATTAATCGCCCCCAAGAGACAACGCCTGAACAATGCGCGGGTCGGCCTTGCTGCCCTCGCGGAATTCCTCAAGCGTTAGCCGATCATCATGGTTCTTGTCCATCTGGTCGAAGATCTTATCGACGCGCTTCTGGGGCGTATTCTCGTCTTCCGGCTGAGGGCTTTGACCCTGAAAAGAAAAGGTAAAGAAAAAATAGTTGATGATAATCAAAACCCTTAGCCTAACGCTACTTTTGTAATAATTCTAATAAAATTTGTGTTATGTTATAAAGGTATACGTACCACCATTTGATAGATTGCGTCGACTATGTTGTACATTTCGTCCCGAGTGATGTAACCATCATTGTCGACGTCGTAGAGACGAAATGCCCCTGAAAAATCAGTTATTCTATGTATGTAAAAAGTATAAAAGTATTTGAACAACGGATAAAACGGCAATATAATAGTGTATGTACAATTACTGCCAAAACAGTACAGTTCTGTATATGTTTTTTTTAAAAACGAGGGAAGGAAGGACTCTTATTTTTTTATTTTGTATATTTGTAATATGTAGTAAAAAATGTAGGCTGTATTATAGTTGCTGGCCATGTTCATGCGCATGCTCGGATTTTGAGGTCTGAGGATAAAGCAGAGGCAAGGTTAGTGCGCAACAAGCGTATGTCGGTCACGCTTGTCGATCGCCCGCTGGCGTACCTGGCTGCAGGCCACGATGCAAGCGGCTGCGAACCTTCGGTTACACATGGTCTGAACAAATAATCGATCTCGAACTAATCGTGTTTACTAACGTAATCTTTTAAACGATCTTAGATACACAATAGTAATTGAAATACCTCAACCATCATTTAGGGAGTAAGCGATCGTTTTTTATACCTACTCCTATACAAATTAAAAAGCTTTACTCGACCTCTTTATCCAATGAAGGACCAAATAATGGGTTCGACAAATTCTATTCACGATTTTTATAATTCTAATAGACATTATCATTAATTACAATTACATAGTTAGTGACCATTTCCAAATTGCTGGTTTGTAGTAATCGATAAGATCAGAACGAATAAGCATTTAATTTTTATGATAGTCGATTTAGTCATTAGACGTGCATAACCTACCATAAACTTCCACTATCGAAATATTGATATCGGTAATAAATAATTTTAGTTCTCTTTACGTCGCATACTATTTTCAATTAATATTTTCTAATAGAATAAAAACAGCTTATTACCCAAATATCTCAAAGTATATTTGGGTGTTGTACTTTTGTTTAAACGAAACGTTTTGCAGATTAATGGGCTAACATTTTGCTGATAGTTACGATAACTTACAGTGTAATTTCTCGTCGAGATTGCCCCGTGACGTCACTGATAGGGCTCGGATAAACTCCTCGAACTCGATCGAGCCATCCTGGAAAAAGTTAAATTACATTGTAAATTTCCTTCATAGTAATGATCGCTTTTACAGGAAGTTCCAACTGATTTTCTACTAAAATATATAAGGGTCATGCGGTAAATATATTTCTATTGATTCCAAAATTACAATAAAAGTTACTTAATTTATAAAAAACAGAAAAGAAAGGTTTTATTGATTAATTTTACTTATTATTTTACGCAAATCTCACGTAGTTACAATTTTAATAAATTTTTTTGATGACTTACGTTGTTTTCGTCGAATACCCGAAACACTAACGATGCAAATTTACTCGGATCTCCTTGAGGGAAGAACTGCTTGTAGATCTTAATGAAGCCCTACAAATTTAACCACATTAAAATAATTATTTATAACACTTTGATACATTCAGAGTAATGCTTAGTTTACATTAATTTGACCTAGTACAGTAGGATAGTTGCGCTGGCTTGCCATGGATTGTTATAGCTCACTGGCGTCAGTTAGTGTTTGCATTGAGCCAAGCCAGCGCTACTGTCCTAATGTAGCTTTAGCTTACACATGCGTCCATCTGTTAACCCTTTTATCTGATGCTAATATTGAACATTAATTGTCATGGCTTTTGAAATATCATAAAATCGAGTTTCGCATCTAAATTTATTATATTAAAAAATCACCATCTGAAATCTTTGTTGTTTTAAACAGTAAGGGAGGAAGGACAACCGAAATACAATCTCTTTTTTCTTGAACTCTTTTATTAGGGATTAATTGTGTCTTTGTAATGTCGTACCTGTTCCGTCAGAAGGCCATTCGGGCAGTCTTTGAGAAAGCCTTTGTGCCTGGAATAAAAAAAAGAAAAATGTTAATGAAGTGCCTTGTTGAAGCGAGACTGCTAATTATTTTATTTTTTAATTTGTAAGCTCACCAAAGGCGTATCTCCTTCTCCGTAACTGAAACAAGAAAAAAACACTGCGTTATAATTTTCAAGATAATATACGTATTTCTCATTTTTACTTGACTTGTAAACATACAAAAGTCACGTTAAATATATGGCGAGCATTACACGAAAATTGACAGACGGAGTAAAAAAAAAAAATAGGCTAGACAAATAGAAGTCGATAATGACATGCAACGCATCTGTAATTTCGGACGACTATGGTCAGCGATGGCTACGCTGTTACGCCGTATGAGGTGACCGCATCACGATAAAAAAGACAGTTTCGTAATGAACAAAAATACAAGTGTACCCGTGGTGTTAAATTTGGCTTTTAGAGATATCCTAAACGATCTCTAATAACCAAAATTCTTAAAACTTTACCAAAATATTAAAATGTTCCTAAAATTGTTTTAACGATAAGTGTCAGTGAGATATATCTTGGGGTATAATTCTGGCGAACTATAAAATTACATCTTCACTATATTTGATAGTAGACTGAAGTTATGTAATAAAGTTTCTCAAGTCCATTATCGCACCACCGTGAAATTGGACAGTTTTCATAAATGTATATCCAATGAAAATCTGCTTATCGGACATTAACTATTTTTGAAATATATCATTACTTATTTTATAAAATACCAAACACTTAATCGCATGGAATTCAAAAAAAACTATATTAGTGGTACCTATGTTTATAATATATAGTTACGAGGTACCTAACATCCATACATCCTTTTTTGATGTAAAAGTTTAGCTTAAAGGTGAAGGGCTCAGTTATGTGCTAAGAAAATTACTACTAAAGAAGTAGCATTTAACCATGTTAACGCACATTATTAATAAAATTATATGTAAAATACATTTTAAATATCATCATTTATTTTTCAAATCTAACCAGCTTTTACGACCCCCGCGTCGAGTTTAAAATATTATAAGAATAAAAGTTAATCAAACGATAATATTGTGGTAGTAAAATGGAGCCGAAAGATCCGGGAGCATTAACGTTCGCGGTCTTGCGATACTTTTGTGCCGGGTTTTTTTCGACTCTTTTCCGGCGACCAAGTAGCAATATTTAAAATTGAACGAAGCCCAATTGCGTCCTGAGAATTTAGTATTTTGTGGCTGGCTTTATTAAATTTTTAGATTATGTTGCCTTTTATTTATACTCCGAGTGGTAATATTATTCGAGGCGGTGTTTGTAATGAAAGTAAGGTTATGAGATTAGTCGGACCTTTAACGACAGTTATGAAGAGTTATTTAAGAACTGGTAAAATTAGGATATAAGCTTGGTAAATAAAACTTTCACTCAGATTTGGTCTCCAACAAAAAGATAGCAAAAAATTTGCATTATATTTTTTGGAAATTTGAGCACAGCAGACTACAGAAATTTGTCAAGATTCCATCTAAGGTTTAGATGTATCTTAAGTTTTAAAGCATTAACCGCGAGTTTCTAAGATCAAATCTCTGTATAAAAGTATCATCATCCGTGTCATTATCTTTGACAAAACAGAGACACCAATATGTTTTAAACGGAGATTTAGAGCTCAGAAACCCACCGTAAGTGAAACAGCCCTTAATTTTATTGACATAATATTATTGGATTGACAAATAACACTTTCACGAATGGGCATAACTATGACGATCTCTTTTTTTTTTATTGATGTTTAACATAATTTAATAAATATTATAATATATTCTAGATTTTGTCAAACCCAGTAAATAAATTATGACTTTACGTAATCTTCATAACTTTAGGGCTGTTCGATTTCTCTGCAGTAAGCTTTAGCGGATCTTTACTCCTGATTTTTTTATTTTTATCAATGTACCTTTAGGTCCTGACTTTATTATACGGGTTAGTGATTTCGAGCTAATTAGTAAAATAGATGAATTAACATACGCCCTATTAATTTTGAAATTCCAATCTAAATTAGCATTACTATTATGAAAACATCAATAAAATTCAAATTGAAATTTAAAATTACGTTTCCGCTAATTCTAATCACTATATACCATATCTTATTTTTTTTTTCTTAGTGGAAGATTTGAAATGTAATATTTATGCAGAATATATTAATTTGGAGGCATATAATTTGTATGGGGAAAGTATATCTATATAGTCTTGTCCACATGCGAAGTTAAACTCATTTCAATGGTGACACTTCAGAGGAAAATGGCTGTTGTTTTGGTTCGTGAGTTTTTAAAATCTGATATATTTTTAACTAGTCTTTTTACTAAAAAAATATTATTGGGGGTATGTTTATCAAACTAAATGACTTTACTTTACAGTGTTCCAAATTTCTTTCAGGTTACAATATTTGCGTTTTTGGTGAGTGGAACACTTGCCGGATATGTGTACCCAAAACCTACAATACCGTTTAATTTACCTATAAACAGGCCAATCAATCATGATGCAGCGAAAGAATTTTTATCTCAATCAAATGAGAAGGCTGTGTCATATTCAATACCTATAGAAGAATATCATTATTTGAAACAACACAAAGCAGAGCATCAAACTTCCAATGAGGCCCAGACTAATAGCTTTAGAAATGGAGAAAATTTATTATTATTAGAGAAAATAATAAAACATTACGATAATGGTTTTACAAACTTAGAAGAAACAGGAATAGATCACATTGAGAATACAAATGGCAATGGAATAGCCGAAGAAGTACTACAGCAAACAGGATCTCCAAATATCGTTTCTATTAATGAAACACCAATTGTTAATGTAATTCCTAGTGTTAACCCTGTTCTCATACAAAATGTGATTCCCCAAACTGAGAATTACGTCCAACATAATGTGGTACAAAACATTGTAGAACCAGTTATAAATAAACATATTTATTTCCATGTACCACCTCCAGATATCGAAGAACCAATAGTCCAACGCCTGCCTAATCCAATAAAGAAGACATACAAGATAATATTCATAAAAGTGCCATCTCAAGAATCATCAAATAATGCGAGAATTCAACAAGCTATAAACAATCAAATCAATCAGAACTCTGCTGTTTCGGAAAAGACTTTAATATATGTGCTAGCGAAGAAACCAGAACCCGTGCAGATTTTACCGCCGCCACCGCCCACTCCATCCCAGCACGAAGTGTTATTCGTGAATTATAGAGGGAAACAGAATAGTGCGCCTTTACCAATAGCCAGTGAATTGTTTCAAGGAAATTCTGCGCTAAGTCAAACTGAGAATTTACGACTTGGATTGGTTAACGGCCAAATATAAGGTAGATAGATTTAAGGCATTTTATTTTGCTTAAAATAGTCATATGATACTATTTTTGTTTTTAATGTTATTATTAGTAGAATGAAACATTCAAGCCAAATATTTACAATCTTAGTAATAAGCATTAACAGTAATGTTGGATAAGCTTTAATCTCCACTTTTCCGTAATTTTGTACTGTAAATTTATTTTTAAAGTTTCAAATTCATTACATATTAATTTTATCAAAGTATGTAAATTTTTTTTATTGGACAGTGATTAAAAATCTATAAAACCGTCCAGGAAATTAATTAACTCGCTGGGACAAATAGCGGTAAAAATAATAGCTTATGATATCCATATGTATTAAAGTGCAACATTTTTAGTGAAAATGGAAGGTGGTCTTGTAAAATTTTATTATTAAATAATACACTTTGTGTTTGTTTTAAAGAATAATCACAATTATTGGATACCCACGATGTCTGCTTAACATCAAAATGTACTACGCATTAAAATCATTAAACTACAAACTCTTGGTTAATATTTTTGCCCAGCCGCGGATGTCATATTTACAATTTGTTGTACCAAAATATATATATTCTGGTTTTGCTTTGCGCATATAAATTGTTGTTTACTACTATCATTTATCAAACACTAAAGAAATAATTGTTTTGTTGTGTTAGAATAAAAATTGCCTTCAACATTATTTGCATGCGATGTGTTAAATTAACATTTTAAAATATGCATATCCCAATAAACTATAAAAACTTCCATAATCATTCGCAGATGTGTCATAATGAATGACATAATCATGTTATGTAATCGAGAAAATTTGATTGCCGCATCAAAAATATTCTCAAGAATTTGGACCGCATCCGAGCCTCAAAGTAGCTAACGTTTTAGTTATAACTTTGAATCAAATATAGAACATTTGATTTGGCACGTCTGAAACAAGAGTATTCTTTTTTACGTGAGAAGTTAAAGGCTGGTTTCTATACGTTCTTTCACAAGGACACACAAATAACTGTCAAAAATGTCATATCTATCTATGTATTCCTAAATTGAATTTCGTAAATTCACCGCCGGCAAAGATCGGTGGCAAAAATAAATCCCTACAGACCTGTTTATTGTATTGCATAATCCCTTTTTCTATCGAATATCGAATACTGGTAGACCTCGTCAAATGGATTTTTATTTGGATGCGCAAATAGAGTATTGTGCCAAGAAATGTGTTTTCATCCAGTTTTGGCTGAAACACTAAAATGTACAGCATACCGATTTATTTATGACATATCCTTATAAGTATACATAATGTTCGTATGTCTCAATCATATCGCACCTGGGAGTTAATTTATTACGACGCCTCTAAATAAAGTATTCTTTAGGAACCCGGACAGCCCTTAAGGCATCCTTGCATCCCGGCTGATTGCCCGACAAACTTATTAAATCCGTTAGGTATTTTTATATTAAATAAGCGAGTACTTGACGGAGATCCCACCTGATGTTAAATGATGATGTGGTCGAAAGATTGTACGATATTAAAACTACATTAATAGCATAAATAAAAAATATTAAGTTACGATAGCTCAAAAAATGCCACAAGATATTTATTGGACTGTATTTATGTATGTAATTCTTTATGCCTAATAAGGTTTATTTTGTGAACAAACGAACCGAAGTAACAGTGTCTCTCTCACTTGGCCAAATAAATTTGTTGCGTTTTATTTATTTATTAGTAAAAATTAGCAGTTTTCATTTTCTAAATCCATGTAAATAAGACTTCGCTTCAACAAACCTAACTCGAATAACAGTAAAGAAAACAACCTTTATCATATATCACAGGGTAACTATATAATATATCTGCTCGATGTGGAAATAAAACTCGTGTAAGGGCGAAGAGGGGCGAAGGCTGACCTTTTGGAGCAAACGGAAATTGCACGTTATCTTTGCGATACAGGAATAGATGCCAGCGGCTATTGTCGGTGGGATTTCTGAATGACCTTTTCAATTAAAAAACTTGGTAGAAATACGATGGCATATTTTTTGTTACTTATTTTTTATGTATATTATGTATTTGTTAAGTTAAATAAATAAAAAGCTTTTGTTTTATTATATATTTTCTTTTTCGTATAATATTAGTAAAATAGTGAAGTCAACCAATCCGCACTGGGCCAGCGTGGTTGACTATGATCTGGTCACCCCTAACTTAGGATAGCTTCAGTGGGGACATAAAGTGACCTGATGATTATGATTAGTAATAAAATAATTAATAAACTGTTCTTGTTAGTGGTAAGTTACTGAGCACAACAAAATAACTTAAAAGATTTATTTCAACACATTTTTAATTCTACGTAGCCTTTGTGATATTTGTGCTTTTTAGTATCATACTGCGGTCGCTGTCGCATTGAAAATTATGTTGTCCCAAAAAAAAAAGGCTATAAAATCCAGCTTGCAGCCCACTTGGCAAGTTTTTAATTAAAACTATCACTTCTGACTGAATTGCATTTTGCTCATGACATTTTTTATTTAGAGAAACTTGGAGTAATGCTTTATTAATTATAATGGTCGTCTTTTGATTTTGTTCTTTATAAATAGCGCTAAATAATCTCGCGAACATCACAATTTGTGCGTAAAACTCATTAAATAAAATTCAAAACTTTAATGGTTTTAATGTAAATTACATTTACATTCATTAATTTATTTCAATGGATGTCATTTATGGGTAGTTTGAAGTACGTTCAAAGTTGAATTGGTATATTATATAAAACTAAAATTAAGGATAATTAAAAAGCGTTCGTTTTTATCTACAATATTTGTAAATATAATACAAAAAAAGTAATTCTAGACACGGAAGTAATCGCTACTATGCTAATTCGGGTACACGAGAAAATTATATTTTTTTCTGTCGTTTCAAAGCTGCAAAAATTTTATGTACCTAATACTTATTTCTTTGCCGCTGCAAATTCACAGATTGGGAAAATTAGTTGAAAACACAATTACTTAAGTATTTACCAGTATTTATTAAAATTAGTAAAAATTTATTTGTTGAAAAAACACAATATGTCAATTAAAGTACCAAAAAAAACTGATTCTATCCCTAAGACATTTGGGAAAGAATACTTGAGAAGAACTTACATACTTACGTACATAAAAACTTGCATAAATAGCTTTCGCACTGAACAGGTTTTTTTTATACCAGAAGGGGGCAAATGAGCAGCGGGAACACCGAGGTGTTCAACGACGCCCATGGGCATCAGCAATACCAGAGGAACCGCAGATGCGTTGCCGGGTTATACTAGTGAGCCGAGTTAATATATGCGCAAAAAACTAACAAGAGTTCCGAGTTTTAATATAAAGTATGCAATAAGCATGTTAAAATATATTAAAAAAGTAAATCGATATAGATATTCGTATGATGGTACATTTTGATTTCTCATATTGGATCTCCGTCGAATTCAAATGAATGCGGTTTTCGTTGCATCTTCTCAATATTTCCACAAAACGAAGTTGATTTAATCTGAGCTAGTCTATTTCTGATTTACCAAAGAGTATATTTATGCTCACATTCGATTTTGTAGTTTAATATAAAATATTTTCCAATCATAAATATGATTTCGAAAAATTTTATTTATTAAGATTTTTATTACCATTTATTACCTAACTTTTAGACATTAATTAGAATCCTTTGGTGCGAATGACGTGGTTTCGTTACAAAGTCCAGTGTTAGAATGAATAGTGGGGGGCTAGTGTTGCGTCAATACACTGGTGCATTTTCTGATTTTCTTCCTAACAAAACCTATTTAAAACTGTTGGAGACAAACATTATTATCATTAAACCATATTTTCATTGTTGTAACAACGATAAGAGTTTAACAAAATATTTTCAATCGAAGACATTTGAAAATGTTTTAAAGTAAACGCGGATTATTCGTTTTCTATAACCTATAAAATTTAGATGTGTAATTTCGGGAACGTTTTCGAAATAGCGCTTATCAACGGGCTATAAATGTGTTTCAATGCGTTTTATAGCTATCGCACGAAATGCAATTTACCCTTTATTTGAATTCGCTGTTGATTGTAATCAAGCTTGGAAACTTCGAATTGCTAGCGTACTATTAAATACTTTTAACTACGTAAAATGTACTTAATTTAATTACGTAAAATGTTCTTTATCTCATTCAATTGGTTTGCGAACGTTTTATTTTTAACGAATCCGGATAAACCAATTGAATCGGTAAAATAAATTCACCTTAAGAAAATTAAAAATTTGGTTTTACCAACTGAATGAATTAACATAAATTTTCTATCCTTAACAATCGCTCGATATGCAATTTGTGAAAATTCTTTACGTTTTGCAGTGCTAATATATCCGTTCACAAATCTAAAATTAAATAATTATTGATCATGAAATCCTTTGGCCGTTTGTGCATCCTTTAATTGCATTTTACTTATTGCATTCAGCTTCGTTTCATATTAGATATCTTATAACGTATCGGTAAGCTCAGAAAGATTTAATTAAAACAGAAAATGTTAGTAAATGGAAATTGACAACAGCGAGTGGAGGAAAGTAATTGCATAAATTCTTTTTCGAAATAATACAAAAGGGACCTGAGGTAGGGATTAAGAAACAAAAAGTGTCCTTAGGGAATTTAGGCTTAAGATAAATATGCTGTAAGGCCTAGAAGCCTAACACCACTACGAAAACTTATTACTATCTCGGCATTTTTAAGCAAAATAAGAAGGACAATGCTATATTTTTGCACCAAAGATTCGGCAGTGGAATTCAACGGTTAAATTACTTTGCAAAAGTTGAATAACTATTGGTACTCAACATTCAACACTGTTTCTTTGTTTTTTAAATCAATTTTTTCTTTAAGTCTTTTCAAATCGCTGTTATATTCAATAAATAATTTATTTATAATCTATAACAATGTCAATTGGTAGCATACATTTTGGTAATAATGGACTTCGTTTTGCAATTGCCCAATTTTTATAGCGCTAGAGGAAATTGAATTCGATTTCCCGTAAGTAAAGTAAAAAAAAAAAATGGTAATTTCAATTTACCGATTTAAGAGATACTATAAACTGCAACATGATAATTATTATTATCCAAAATCATTTCATAAATCTGGATTTATTATTATTCTATTTGCTACAATATTCTATATACGTTTAAAGAGACAAGTCTAAAAGGATTAGATATCGTTACTTTGATCCACTACAAAGAGTTGTGACCTCCGTTTTGGATTAATATCCAAGGTAGACAAACTTTTTACTTTCTCTGTATTCATTATTTATCACTTCTTGCTGCAAATTTTAAGCTCCTGCTATTTAAAAATAGCAATTTTTAGCATACAGAAATTTGCCTAGGAAGTTTTTGAGTATAAACATAAAACAAAATGCACAGTTTGTAATAAATAGTACCAGATTTACAATATAATTGTATTCATTTTTAATTAAACCAAGAAATAAAAAACTTCAACTTTAGTTCTTCATGTTGAATATTATTTTACGCAGTAGTCCAGTCCATTTCATTTAATGGTTTTAAATTGTCAGAACCAAATATCAGAACGATTAAACCTGAACGAAGTGCCAGTTGGATAAGCTAAAACCGTTAAAATACGAGTAAAATATCCAGGAAATATCAGTATTGTATAACGATCAGCCGCAGACGATGGACTTTTGTGCGATCCGACGAACATTTTTCACATTTACCTGCGATGACGTGCTACCATACACAAAAGGCACGCGGTCTTTTTCATCCCAACGTTTACTATACTTTTTCCAGGTGATATGACACGTAACATGTAAAAGCGTTATTTCGTTGACTTGATATTTTTAGCGTTTAAAATTTTTATCAAAGCCAGCTTTAAATATCGAACCGTGGGTTTCTGATACCAGAATCCCTGATTAAAATATATTGTTTTATGAGTGACGGTATGTTTTATATAGATATTTTGGTCTCAGAAACCAAAGATTAGAAAAATAGCTTAGTAAAACCTTTAAAATAAACCGCACTCACGAGTCTATTTTTTTAAAGGACGGATAGTCGTTTAGATTTCGACTTACTATCAATAAAACAAATTTGAAAAATGAAAATGTAACGAATTCAATAACATTCTTTATAAATTACCGCGACAATATAATCATGTCAGTACAACGTGTCAAAATTCGATAAATTCATCATAGATGCTAAACAAGCGCCATTTTAATAATGGTGACGAGAGGGTCACAGAGTTGTTTACGATTGAAACTTCCTCGAAGTCAGTTAAACATCCCTAGTCAGTAGTTAGCGTTTCAAAACAAATGTAACAATGAATCGTTTAGTTAGGTTTCAATGTAATAATGTACAGTGTACGCTTGACTTTCGTCCGCGCAATGCCAGAATGCCTGTGTTTTCTGTGCATCATAAAAGTGTAAGTACACGTGACTGAAAAATAATACCCTATTTGTGCTTAATGTAACAAAAATTATAAAAAAAATTAGTTAAGTTTGTACAGCAGCGTATATTTGGAACTTTTAACCTTGTTTTAAGCAGAATATATAATATATTTTTTTTTAATTTTCGACAGATTATCATCACGCTGCTGTTGCTGTGTTTTACAAATTATTCAATTGAAGGTATACCAATAAGTAACGGATTTAGTCTTAAATTCAATCCTATATCCCACAAGGAACCAATTAAGCCAAGATCATTTGGTGCGCTATTTGCAAAAATACCGCAAGAACTACCACGATCCGTGCATATTAACCAGGATCTGTCAGAAGCTGTTTTCGCGCATCCAGCAAATTTGGCGGATGGATGCACAAACCAGGTTGCTAAAATGGTATATCCGAAAAGTGTTACCAACAAATATATCAATGAAACACAAACACCGGAGACTGTAAATTTTATAAACTTACCTATTATAAGCCAACATGCAGAATCATATAATGTATTGGTCGCAACTGCACCAAAAAATATCAGAATAGGTCAAAAAAGGGACGCCTTGCCGACAGTGCTATATGTCGTTTTCCCAGGAGACGGTGAATCAAATGAAACTAGTAATATGAATTTACCAGCTATATACTTTGTAAATAAGGATGACGAGAAAGGTGATGTAACGAA